GGAGCAGGGGGTGATACCAGTAGTAGTGGAGCTTAGGTGCCTGGAGGGCATCTGTGGGGTGCTCCGTGTATCTGAAACATGGCTAATGCCAACCTCTCCCATAACGCTGTCTCCCTTCCACCTGAATTTCACCTCCCCTGTTACTGTTCTTTTTATTTCCATACTTCCATCTTTTTTGGCCAATGTCCTTTCTCATGCTGTAAAATGCCCAGTGGGTTTATTGCCGGAGACAAGGTGGCAACACAACATGCTTTGCTGTCTGTGCGTGAACTGAAGAGCAGATGCTCTGCGCTCAACTACCCAGGGACTGTGAGAGAAGGTGCCGTCAGCCGGGGGTGGCAATGTGCCTCCGTCATTTGTGTAGTGATATGGGAAGAGCTGAAAGAGAAGTCTGTCCATGATGCAGTTCTTCCCAGTCTACAGATTTCTACTGGAATTTCAACTGTGTTGTTGGAGGGTGTGTGTTAATTAGACAGTCATAACTGAAATCGCACGTGTCGGGATCCCGCAACGTGAGGAGCGCTTTCAGAGCTCTGGTCTCACCCACCGTCTCCTAAGTGGCTGGGGAGGTACACTAAACCCGGAGATCATCCCCACCGCCCCACACTAAGGACTGAAGCCAGCCCAAGACATAGCAGACTTGATAGCGCTGCTGGTCTCTTCCCTCTTGTGGACTGAAATTCTCTCAGCTAGTTAGTTCTTCACATTATTTACAAAAGAGAGGCATGACTTGTGTTCTAGCTAGGAAAGGAGACACCTTGGGTGGTCTGTTTCTGGCCCCCTCCTATGTCACCAAAAGGCTTCCGACTTAGGCTACCAGGATATTTGCTAAGGCTCATCACTGAGATTGGACAGAATTGTCTGAAGAATGGCGGTGACTGGCCTGCCATTTTCATCTTTTTTTTTTAAAGACAATTTATTTATTTGAGATAGAGTGAGAGAGAGAGAGAGAGAGAGCAGGGAGGAGGGTCAGAGGGAGAAGCAGAGTCCTTGCTGGGCGGGGAGCCTGAGAGAGGGCTTGATCCCAAGACTCCGGAATCATAACCTGAGCTGAAGGCAGATCCCCAACAGACTGACCCACCCGGGCACCCTCACTATTTTCCTCTTGACTCTATTTCTTAGGAGGATCTTGAAGTCTGGTGAAAAGTAAATTAAAATATCCCTAGAGTTTCAAGCCACGTCTCACTATACTCTTTCCACCAGCCGGTGTGGCCAGGAAACATTTCCCGGACACATCAGGGTGGGGCGAGGACCACCAGCTCACATTTCACTTTCTGTAAAAGTAGACATAGGGACAGTTTGGACAATCTTGGTAAATGTTTGATGTGCTTCTGATGTTTCTCATAATCCATGAGCTTTTCTAAAACAATTCCCCTCGGGATCCCTGGGTGGCGCAGCGGTTTGGCGCCTGCCTTTGGCCCAGGGCGCGATCCTGGAGACCCCGGATCGAATCCCAGGTCGGACTCCCGGTGCATGGAGCCTGCTTCTCCCTCTGCCTGTGTCTCTGCCTCTCTCTCTCTCTCTCTCTCTCTCTTTCTCTCTCTCTGTAACTATCATAAATAAATAAATAAATAAATAAATAAATAAATAAATAAATAGTTAAAAAAAATAAAAAAAAAAACAATTCCCCTCAACCATACCTCGAAATGCAATTTCCTGTGAACGATTAGGAACAGAAATACTTTCAAAGTGAGTTTTCCAGACAATTACACTTGCAGAAAAGCAATTAAAACCAAGGAACAATGTATGTATGCGATGATGTAAAATGTGGCCTCTAATGCTGCTTGCTGAAGATGTTTATAGCGCTCTTACCTTTATTATATAAGTTATAGCTCTGCGCAGCAATGAAATACACAGAGTCTCTTGGAGAAATGTTTACATAGAACACTAAATGTGGCTAAATTTACTACAATGTCTTGTGATTAGACTTTTAATTAAATTCGGCTCAGGTAACTGCTTTATAGAATATATGTTAAAATTACAAACCTCTTGCAGACCCAAGTGCCATATAACAGTAACTATTTAGGGTCTTCTATTACCTTGAACAAAAAGTTATAGCAATATGCAATCAAAAATTGCTCTGGGCTTCAGTGAAATAAAAATAGGCCCAGGAATAATTGGCTCTGAAGTGTGTTGAAACCATCACTTTTATAATTTCTGGGGGCCTGTGACTTATTCATTTTTTGAGAGGGAAAAACATTTACATTAAAGAAATCATAGTCTGAAAGTGTAATAATGAATTCCGTTTATATAAACTCATGTTTGTATAACTGATGTATTCTTCATTATCAAGTAAACAGTGTAGTCAATGTTGGGTAAGTTACCAGTAGGAAAACGAAGACTTGTTAACTCACCAACAAGTATCAAAGCTAAGACCAGGCCCTATTTTTCTGAGTTTTAGCACTATTTTAAGCCTGAAATTGTACATCCTGTACTTTTTAGTATGTTTTTCCCCCAAAGTACCACACTAACCATTATATATATTTTCTTAATGAAATCACTCGAAACCTTTTTAGATACAGTTGAAGAAATTAATTATAAATATTGATATTTCTTTTTAATTTCCTTATTAGGAAGGGCTTTATGGCTTAAATCAGAAAGAACTATTTATAAATTGATAAGCTCCCACGTGTGAAAAATATGGAAGAGACATTAGACATTCCCAGAAGAAAAAACTGGTGTCCTTTTCCCCCTAGAATCCTAATAGTTAAATATCAAACTCAGTACATGATATAAAAGGTGTACATTTTTTATTACTTCAAATCATTCTTTATTACTTTATTTTCTCTTTTCTTATTAAAATGTTAATGAAGTATTAGATTCACCTGCTCATTTTAATTCTCAGGAGACAAATCGCAAAGGAACTTATAAAAAAAAATGCCAAAAGTTGGAATCCTCCTAAAATAGATGCTGTTTATATAAAGATATTTCATCAGTCTTAAAGAATCCCTACAATTTTTCAAAATAAAAACTAGTATAACAGGTTTTTATAATACTCAAACCAAGCTCTCAGGAATTCAAGGTTAAGAACTAATATTTAGTTTTATTTAGTTCAATGGAAAAAATGACTGCATTGATTTCCATAAAGAATACAGATTCTTAAATTGTTACTCCTCAAATACACCTTATTTTTGTCTCAAAAGATCAATAATATCTACTTAATCATTTATCTTAACTAAGGACCCAAAATCATTTATTTATTTATTTATTTTTAAGAAGATGTTATTTATTTATTTTTGAGAGGGAGAGAGAGTGGTGGGGGAAGGGAGAGAGAGATAAGCAGACTCCATCCTGAACATCGAGCCAACCCAGTGCTCCATCTCACAACCCTGAGATCATGACCTGAGCTGACATCAAGAGTAGGAAGCTTAACCGACTGAGCTACCCAGATGCCCCAAGGACTAACATTTATTTTTAACATAGTTATTATAAAATAAGCTGTTGCATTATATACAGGATTAAAGTTCCTCCTCTTAAGTAATGTGGTCTGAAAATGGTAATAGTTTGTGCCATGTTCGTTTGGTAAGATGCTCATGTCATGACTTCAAAGAGAGCAGGTGGGTTTCAGAGGACAGATATCAAAAGAAGGGAACAGAGTGTCATGGGATAGAACATGCATCTCCCCTTGGCCTTCATTCCATTATTGTTATCAAGTTATGAAGCCACAGTATGGTGGCCCCATGTCTGTTTAAAATACACCACTAGGTTTACCCAGCTTCCTTTTGCTAATAAGGACAAAAAAATCAGTGGTTTGTGGATGCATCTATCCATTCACTTGCCCCAGAAAGAGGTTTTCTGGGTTTGACCTCCTGCTGAATTCAACTTCATGTATTTGAAGAGGGGGCTGCACTGGCCGTTTAGTCTCTCGTGGGCAAAATGGCGCACAGGTGCAGACAACGGAACAGAGAGCTGGGGGTAGGGCTTTGGGGAGTAGGGCAGAGTTTTTAAACATTAACTTTGTACATAGATTTCAGAACAACTGCAATGAAAGGGATGAACTAATCAAAGTAGGAAAACTTTTATGAGGCTCTGCAAAGGACGGTAGGCTCTCTTCTTGTTCGTCAAGAACTATAATCAAGAAACAACTTATTTTAAAATTATTTTTGATTTATGTGCTATGGTTTTTGACAACAGCCTCCTGACTGGAACATGGAAAATTTCCTTTAAAAGGATTGCTTTTTGCTGGTTTACTTATTGGCATAAAAATTTACCATAATAACTGAGAACCATCAGTTGAAACACAGCACTTTCTTTTGAAATGTTAACACAGTTTTCTGTGATTTTTTTAATAAGATTTTCTTTCTTGTGTGTAACTTTAGACTGAAATGCTTTCTTGGCCTACCTCAAACTTACTTTGGTATGTTATAAACGGCCACATACTCTCCCCATCCCTGTATGCACGCCCCCTTGCAGTAGGACTCTGCTTTTCTCTCCAGTGAGGGGTGGAGTATATTCCCTCGAATCTTATCTCATGGATGTGTTTTGTTTTGGCAAATGGCACATTAGCAAATGAATGCAAGCCCATATCTGAAAAGTGTGTTGTCTCTTGTTGTCAAAAACCTTCCAACCATAATTAGTTTCCTGAAGGAACAGTAATGTGATGTGAAGAGGCCCCAGCCTTCCTCAGTGTCCAGCTGAGTCTGTGTACCCGAGTGATGCCATCCTGGGCCATCACCCTGTCGAGCTTGCCCCGGGGCAGAGCTGCCCAGGCAACACAAGTCGTGGGCAGATAAACACTTGTTTTACACAACTAGATTTGGGGGCCTGTTTGTTACGCAGCAAAAGCTAGCATACATTTATTTATCTCTTTTTTACAGATGGCTTAACTCAAGTTCTCAAAGGCACTCCAAAGTAAGCATATGAGCTAACAAAAAAATTATGTGCCCCTTTATGTGTTTTCATTTCTTCTCAGAAACAATAGATGTACTATTATCCCCACTACAAAAATTGAAGATGCTCCTCTATTCTAAAATCCCCTGAAACCAACATAAAACAGGTACCTGATGGTCTTTCCCGGGTCTGCGTCTATGATCCAGGTGCAGTGGAGGTTGTTGTCATAGGGAGCAGGGTAGCCGGGAGACAGGATGCGCCCCGACGTGGCTGCGTGGATCTCACCGCCACACTCGGCTGCAAGAGACACCGACACTTGAGGGGATTCACTCCGGGACCCACAGGGGTTGGTTTAGCTATTTTAAAAACAAAAGCCCAAACCATCACATCCACACTGTATACCTAGCCCCAGAGAGAAAAATGTACAGTTGTCTGTCTCCATCATTTCTTTCCTCTCCTTGTTCCCTGGTATTAGCCTGACGGGAAGACATTACCCAGGACGTAATTCAGGTCAAGAATATAAAGCGATGAAACACTCACGTTATGATTCTCATAGTAACTCTGTGCTTACGGTCTCTGTAAAACAGCACCGGGAGATCTTTCTTACACGAAACCCACACCACAGAAACACGCTGTCTTGGGTGAATCGCGGGAAGCGAGCGCTGAGCGCAGCAGAGGCCCCGGCCTCTCCCCGGCACCTGCGGCCGGGCCCTGAACTTTGCTTCTGTGGGGGGACTGGGGGGGGGGTCTGCCCAACTCACCCACGCATGAGGGCAGCGGTTTGTCCCACACCCTGCGGTCGCCGCTGAGGCAAGTGAGTGTGTCGCTGCCGTGCATGGCGTAGCCCGGGTTGCAGCTGTACAGAACCACAGTGTCAGTAAAGTGGCCTTCGTCTCGGATCCTATAGCCATAGTTGGGGGTGCCTGGATCCTCGCACTTCACCAGGTCGAAACCTGTGAGAAAGGAGGGGAAAGACTGAGCAGAAGTCACGGTAGCAGGTGCACAAACGGCCAATAAAGACAAAGCAGGGCAGGTCATCGTGTGCCCCGGGCGGCGTGGACAGAAAAAAAAGATTGTGAATTTAGAAAGGAAAAGGCAGATGTGGGTCTCCGTTTGATTTCATTTATTTGGTGACTGTTTATTGTTACACGAGGTTTGATCATTTTACTTGTTCTCATCTATGTCTACAGGAGAATCTATGTCTACAGTTCTCTATGACTCCTTACTAGGAGAATCTTCTTTCCGAAGACTTCCAAATGCCACCTACTAGTCCGCATTGCCTTGCAGACATGCTGGAATTATGTGGGACTCTCATAGTATAGTCTCAGTTTTCCCTGGAGACAACCCCAGCCCAAGTCACTGGGTGCACATTTTCTCGGGGCAAAAAAATCTCTATCCTATCATGGCGGTTTGTGGAAACAGCCTCCTCCTCTCCCTGCACACCCCTTTCCTCTCCAACCAAGCCAAGCCCATGAAGTGCTAGGACACCAGAAAGCAGCAGCAGCCAGAGGAGGAAGCCTAAGCTGCGTCTCAAAGCAAGGGCCCCGGAGGGAAGCATTTATAGCAAGTCTTCCTTTACTCAAACTGCTTCAAGAGAAGAGGGAGCAGCACACCTAAATATCCACACCACACATTTCTTCATTTAAAAACATCACTTCTTTATATCAAAGGAAAAAATAAAAGACCCTCCCAACCCTTTCCAAAAAAGCCTCAAAGCCTTCTGTCACTGAGCTGCAAGCCCTTTCTGCCTCCACATCCCTTCCCTGTGAGGCCCGAGCCTGCCCCTGGGACACTCTCCACAGTCCTACTGCCACCCTCACTCTCGCCCATGGTCAAGAGCCAACCACCCTCACACCGACCTCCTCCGAAGCTCCAAGATCTTAAGCTTCAGGGAGAACCTGGAAGTTGTTCCTACTCACAGAAGACGGGCTTGTGACTTTCCACCTGCCACATGCCTGTGGCGCACGTGACGGGGGCAACAGGCAGCTAATGCCACGCACCGTGCGATCCTCAGAAGCAAATCGCTATAATGGCTTCCCCCAACTTAGCTCTCCAACTCGAAGGGATAGATGACTGAAATGAAGATTTAACTTCTGCAGAACTTAGAGCTCTATGTGGGCTTCATGTGGGGCAGTATTTTTTTTAAGATTTTATTTATTTATTCATGAAAGACCAGAGAGAGAGAGAGGCAGAGAGATAGGCAGAGGGAGAAGCAGGCCCCATGCAGGGAGCCCAACCTGGGACTCGATCCCGGGTCTCCAGGATCACGCCCTGGGCTGAAGGCGACACTAAACCACTGAGACCCCTGGGCTGCCCATGAGGCAGTGTTTTAAGGGCATCTGTGGAGAAAGTCTTACACTAACGCTTCTCTCCTCATATCCTGATGCAAATTTTGACCATTCTCAAGAGTAGAGCCGGAAACTTCATGCACCACGTGGTGTGTTGACATTTATCTCCACCTAACTTTGATTTCTTCCTTTCCAAAGAAAGAAATGAAAGAAAGAAATAGAAAGAAAGAAAGAAAGAAAGAGAGAAAGAGAGAAAGAAAGAAAGAAGAAAGGAAAGGAAAGAAAGAAAAGAAAAGAAAAGAAAAGAAAAGAAAAGAAAAGAAGAGAAGAGAAGAGAAGAGAAGAGAAGAGAAGAGAAGAGAAGAAAAAAAGAGAAAAGAGAAAGAAAAGAAAAGAGAAAAGGGACTAGTGATTCTTGCTAAGTCTGCCTGCCAGCTTGCACTCTTAGGTGGCTTCCATGGAGGACACCGATTCACCACATAATCGCACCCTGCTGATCTCCGCATAGTCAGGATTCAGGTCTGTAACTTTGGATACGGGAGGGAAAATGACATGTGGTCACTGATGTGCAGTTGCTAAGACAAGTCTTTCCAGAAGTTTCCCTCTGTAGAGTGTTAGTCTCCACCAACCGTACCTTTACCAGGACTCTGATCTATTTAAGACAAGCAAGTAATTTTAGTTCGGATGCCCAGAAGGAAAGAACATGGGGGCATATCATCGATTCTAGTGCAAAACCAAAGGGTGTTTTAAATCAGCAGGAAGGGGAGGCAGGCAGGAAGGGGGGGTCGGGGCCCGTGCGGATACTGGCCGCACTGGTCTGACCGCAAAGTACCAACGCACCGAGGGGAAAGGGAGAAGGTAAGCTGGGAATCGGCGTCGGCACGCGACAGTGGGATTCAAGCATTACAAAGGCCTCCCGATGGATTCGCCTGAGCCTCTCTTTCTACAGATGGAAAGAAGAAGCGTAAGGAGAGTCTTTCTTGTTTCCTGTAGTTCCTGGTTGGCGGCGAGGACATCTGAGTTCTTTCAAACCATGTGGCGTGGGTGTGAGGAACTGAGAAACCCACCCCCGGCCTGTAGGAGAAAACCCAGCAAGGCGGTGAGGGCTTCCCTTGGCCACGCGGGAGGAGGGCCCCATCTGTCATGAGAGGCAACATCTCAAATGCTTCACTATTTCGAAGACAGATGAAGTATCTGAGTATCAGATGCCGGTGGAACATCACGTCGAACATGTTCAGTAGACATAACCCAGGTGTGCAAATTATAAAGATGAGCCAGGTGCATACCCCAGCTGTTCACACCTTGTGACAGGACGCTGGGTAAACTACGGAATCTGTCCAAGCAACGATAGCTTTGAATTCTCATGGGTCGTGCAGGCCTCACCCCTGAACGGCAAGGTCCGTGGGTGATAGCAGACCCTTGGAGGCAGTGATGACCTGCTGTCCCACGAAAATTTGCACCTCCTGTGACACAAGCTTCTGATTTTTCAAGAAGCACCAGGAATCTGGATTTTTTTTTAAAGTTTATAGTAATGATTGTCGAATGAATAAATATTCTGAAAGTGGAGATGTTTAAAATCCTGAATCCGATTGTTAAGATCAGATGAGAGTATCACAAAGAGCTAGATGATTTTGTCAACTCTTGGTGAAGGCTTTCACGAGACTCAGAATGGCAGAAAGTTGGCGAATTCCACCTCATGCTTCTAAACTAAGTTTTGAAACGCACGCATCTTGTGTGTGTGTGGGGGGGATGCAGCCCTGGACGAAGGAACTGCCAGGCTTGCCCAAGACCTTCCATCTCACAACCAGTCGTTCGAACGCGGGTTACACAGAAGTGTTTCATCATACAAGATTATCCCCGATGGAGATGTGTGCCTCTGTCGGTGAAGGGATGACCCTGGCTTTCCCGTATGACTCCCGCACATTCTCGTTACCTTCTGGTCCTGAGCTCTGCAGGCAAAGTTCTGCACTAAAAGTTACATTAGAACCTTTCTGGTGTTGGATAAAAAAAAAAAAAATTAAAGGGAAAACAATTAAAGATGTACCAATAAAAATGTCTATCAAATTTTATTTGAGTTGAAGTTATGAGAGAAATATCCTGTTTCATAGCTTTTTCTATCATTTAATCTTGATTTTTTTTTTTTAAGGCCACATTCTGTTACACAGAGATGTGGAGCCACTTATTTCTGGAAGGATAGTTACTCTCCCCAATAGCTGTGTTCCCTTCTTTCTTATGATGCCTTCTATTATTTTTTCAAAAGTTCACCTAAGTCTTCAATGGCATCATGAAATTAATTATTGAGAAAAAGTTCTACACTCGATTCCTCAGTGTAGGCCCAAGGCCTCCAGGCCTACCCCACGTCATTGTATGAACTACATTCCTCTTCCCTATCAGAAAGTTGAAGGGTATTTGGATAGTCTAATTCCCATCTTCGGTCCCACAAAGATAACTTTGTTCCTGCAAAACTGCTCACGCGATTCAATAATTAATCCCTAGTTCTGGCTGGAATCATAGACGGTTACTCCCGGAGGAAGCCCCGAGAGTGCGACTGATCAGTGTCTGCAAAGGACTAGAGAAAGATCTTCAGGAACTCAAAATTTCCTCTCCAGTTTGACTGTTGGCTTCAGTCTGTCAACCAGCACCAGAGACATGGCCCTGCTCCGTTACTTCTCTCAGCACATCAAATAAAACTCATTTCGACTGAGTTTTGCTCGCTCTGGGGTCAAGGAGTCCTGATATCATTGTGTCCCAAAGATTTCAATACTGCTTCTAAACATTGGGAAAGTTGCATTGGTGGATAACGCAGCAGTCCGAAGCAGCAAAGTAAAACTCTCCGATGCTAAGTCCGTGTCCGTTTCAGGAAAGGATTTTCCTGTCATTTACCAAAAATTGCTCAAAAACATTTTTTTTTTAGATTTGTCTTTAGATCGACAAAGATATTCCTGTAATCAAGAGACATTTCCATTCTAATCGGAATCTAAAACACTTAAAATGATCAGTCATAATAGCTGCTAATATAGAGAAGATCTTTCCTATCTCAAAGCCACCAGCCTGCAGATCAGTGCAGCAAATACCGATTCTGTGTTTTCTTTCTACCACTGAACCTTTACAAAAGATGAAGTCATTTATTTCAAAACATTATCTACTAAGAGTTGCAATGGTGTTGAATTTATTTAGCAATTCCATTTATTTCTATTTTCTGTGATTTCTTCTTAAGTCCTATAAATCGCCAAGATGCTTTCAACTAAAGGTTCTGGTGCGAACAGGCTGTAAACATCAGGCTGATGAAGATGACGACTCCATATCTTGTGCAGGATTTACTCAGTCTCCGTATTTTTGAAGGATTCAATTCCATATATCTTGAACATCTAACAAAATATTAGCGTCATGAGACACTTCCACTTAACTCTCAAGCGTTTGGTCCAGTTCTTATCTTCCCAGCACAGCACTCGTGTGAGATGAGAACCTGCTCCAGACCTAATCCATTCTACACCTCGGGGCTGAGCGCTCAGCCCTGCAGCCCCGGGGACTCCTCCAGCCTCTGTCTAAACAGCTCCTGGGAAGGTGCCTCCGTGTGTAGGCGAGCCCTGAGAACGCAGCTCAGCAGGCCTCAGTGCTTGCTGTTTATGAACCTCTGGTATCTTCTATGAGCAACTGAAAAAGTT